CTAGACTTTATGAATTTAAGCGCAGTACTAGATTGGCAGCAAGGTCTCATCATTTTACAGTTGAAATGGTCAGATGTAAGCATAAATTCTATGCTAACAGATTCTTCTATCACACATCTCCTTTGTGGAACTCTCTTCTGGCTTCTTACATTCAAGTCAACTTTGATCTTCAAAACTTTAAATGTGATATCTACTGTTTTCTTGATTACTTTTCTTTTATTGCTCTTACTCATGAATAGTATTTTTTTACTAATATTCTTTCACACTTAGTAACCCCTTGCATCTTAGTGGCTTTATTGCATTGCTTGTGATAAAATGATTAAAAAAAATTCAGTTTTTCAGCATAATTTTCCACGGATATAACCTTGTGACCCTCATTTGGGCTGTGGCTATTAGCTTAGAAACTTTTTCTCTAATACATTTTGAAGAATTGTGTAACAATGTTTCTTTTCTGCTTCTTTAACTGTTGCTATCAAAGAATTCTGTAACTTTGTCTGTCATCTAAAATACTGATCAGAAATATTGACTTAAGTAGTTCTGTCAGGAATTATTATATGTAATTTACAGCATTTGAGGACATCTGTTTAAGCTATCACTGTTAAGAAGAAAAGATGTTTTGAATGTCAAAGAAGAAAGAAACTTTTGGAAACATTTAATACAAAGTAGTAAAGTGATAAAGCAAAGGAAAATAAAGTTTTAATGCATGTGTTGCTGAACATTTGTGTAAAAAGTACTTTTAGGGCTGAAAAATTGGTTCTATTGATAATAGTAAACAAAAAAAGAACAAAACAAACAAGAAACATTTCCAGTTTCCTGAAATGTTGAGGTGAGTAGAGAATAACAGATTAAAATTTTGTTCTTTTGTTTCCTTTTAAGAAATAACCACTTAAAATATTGTGGCTGCCAGAACTCACAAGAACTGTGACTAGAATTATTGTACAAGATGTTACTTTGCTTCAGTCTATCTGAATATCTTCAAGTCTTTTATTTATATATTATAAGAAATGTTTTTTTTAAGAAAACAAAACTCATTCCAGACAGCAAGGTAAAAACGTCAGTAATAAAATTCCTTAAATAACAAATAAAAAATAATTTGTTACATTTTATTTGTATTTATTTTGTAAATAATAGTGAGACCTACTTTTGGTTTTTTTTAAAGCTGCATTATTTTTTTATCGGCAAGAAACTTATAAGCAAGATGAGGCTCAGATTAGTTCCAAAATTGAGCCTATTTTGAGTATGAAGCAAGACTCAGATTTTTTATAAGCATGACAAGGCTCAGATTAGTTAAAGAACTGAGCCTATTTTAAGCATGAAGTTCAGATTTTTTATAAGCAAGATAATGTTCAGATTAGTCCAAAAATTAATAAACCTTCTACCAGAATTCTACTTATATTTACATTCAAAGATCTTTAGTCAAATATGTCCATATGATACAGTGTACTGTATGTATGTACATGTATGCATTCCATACCACAAATATATCATTACTATATTATGAGAACCAAAATTAATTGATTAAAATTACAGATGTAACATTTGCTTAAGATACCCTTCCAAAGAAAGACTTTACAACTTTGGTCACCCCCACCTTAACAAAAGGAAAATAACTAAAATGTCTAACTGATATGAGGGTTATATTTTAAGCATGAAATAGGACTCAATCATGAGAATTCAATAACTATGGCCAGGTTCAGCTAAAATTAAATTTAATGCTAATGTTTTTTAAGTATATTTTTTCATATTTAATTTCAAACAAATTTTTCAGCTTTTCTTTTTTTTTAAACATTAAGTTCTGCAATTAAAAACATATACAGATCATATTCATACAAATAGGTGGAGCTGCACTTTATCAGCTAAATTGATCCATCAGGAAAAGGTGGTATAGCCCGTGCAATTGTAAACCTACAAGTGACTGTGTCTTCTACACACCATTGTTACATTACATACAGTTTGAGAATTTACAGTTGCCAGAAAAAAATAATTTTTTACTTTCCTGCAAGTTGGTTACAGCTAATAACTACTAAATTTGCAGGTTGGATGTGCAGAGAAAAGTTTTTCTTTCTTGACTGACATCAAAAAAACTATTGGTTTAGTAAAATAAAATGTATAAACATACATGCGGGGCTTTTTGTTAGTCTTTCACCAACCGGGCAAATCACTCTGCATTTTGTTTCGATTCTCACGTGTGTTGGTATGCAAAAAATTTGATAAAGCCTGGTGTATATTCACAAGGGAATTAAAGATAAAATAATGCTATGGCAAGAACAGAAAACGCAAATCCCGTCTTTATTAGATTGGTTATTTATTCACGCGTTGCCCTGGTATGGTTTAATAGGTAGGTAGTACCTGCGATATCTTTGTTGCTACTTCTCTTTTCTTTCATGACAGACTAATGAACCAAATCTTCCCTTCAGCCAGTAAGAACCCCAATCTCTCCTCTGCCCATTTTTGACTTCAATGGCCTCGACATTCCAGCAGATGGCTTGTCACTTATTCATGGACAGCTTCTTTCTGATCACCATCTTGTCACCCTCTATGGACAGATTGTCACTAAATGTTCTATTATTCAGCCTGAATATGCAAGTCTGCAACTAAAACTATATACATCTTCCAACCAAGTAGTACTTGATCTCAAAAGTTTTTATTTATCTATTTATTTTAGTTCCATTTTTTTTTATCACTTGTAGACAGTGGGTGCTTGCTTTGAAGATCTCGCTCATAGATTTTATTGTTTAAGCACTTTGGGCCAAGCTAAAATCATTCACAGTCCATTTTACTTTATGGGTATTCTAAGCCAGAGTTGGGTTCAACTTGTATCACATTATTTCCTTCACTGACATCAAAAGACATAATTGTTTTAGAATATAAAATTTATTTGCTTTTACAGTGATTGAATGTATAAACATTAATTTGAAATGTAAGCAAAACCATCAAATTAAAGGTACTCCCTACCATGAAAAAAACTGTAATATAATGAGTCCTCGCTTGATTGGTTTAGTACACACATTGTCAAGCTGGCTATAAAAGATTTTATCAGGATCTGGAACACCAGCAGTTTTATGACAACCAGCAATAAAAATGTGATGCAATCACCTGCTGTTCAGAAGTTTAAATTGAATAAATTATATGAATGAATAAATAAACAAAATTTTTATGATTAAGTATCACTCATCTGGAAAGTAGGAAATTCTGGTTGTGGGCTTATATAGTCTGGCCACATTGTCGATAACAGGAGAGCCACAGAGTTATCAGAGGGACAAGCTGTCTGTCATGATGTGGAGATGAGCAATAGGAGAGAGTTATGGTGACAAGCCATCCGTCAAGATGTAAGGAGTCACAGTCAAAGATGGGCAGAAGGGATGTTGGAGTTCTTGCTAGCTGAAGATCTGATCTGGTCCATTTGTCTGTCATGAGAGAAAACAAAAGTAACAGTAAGGACATTCTAAGTGTCATTTACCCTGTTCCTTGAGGCTGTGCCAGGTGAATCTATGTTTGTATTTTCTTTTCACCTCCAATTCTCATAGGTTGAACATATACTGGGCCTTTTTCAGCTTTTCCTCACATGATGCAAACAAAAATTGAAACATATTGTCAGATGTCAAGTAATTGGCCATGGTTAAAAGTAATTGGCAGAAATGTCCAACAAACAAAACTGTCAGTTTCCAATAAAGGAAAGAAAAGAACAGGGCAAAGATAATACTAAGCAGATATATATATATATATATATATATATATATATATATATAAACTAGCTCCTGTAGAGGTCTCTTGATTGGGCTTTCATCACAATATGTAGGGAGGAGTAGATGTGATAGGCAATAATAAACTACAGAAGAACTCAAAATTGATCACTGCATTTAAGTATTACATTAATATTTAAGCTTATCTTTTAAAAGTTCAATGATAATTCTTTGGCCACTATTTAATTTAAAGACAATTTGATGTACGTAGATTCTTACTTTCTGTACAAACAATTATTTATTTCATGGGTGACTTTCATTGCATTTTGCATTTAATTTTGATTATTCCTAAATTTATTTCCAAGTTATGAAAATTGTTTTGTTGCAAAAAATCACGTAAAAAACCCACTGAAAACAGTTGCAGTAATGAAAACTTTGGAATCCCAAATTTCAGGATTACATATCCAGTTACAACCCAGAATGTTTTTAATTTGCTCACAGAGTCATCTTGATTCCAAAATGGTATAATATGTTGGGCTATGGCCTCTAGGAGTAAAGTAGAAAAAGTGTGACACAATGACACACTTACATTCTCATTTATTATATAGATATATGCAATATATAGATATATGCAAGACAAAAGTAGATAAAGCAACAGTAATGAGGCAAAAAGTTCACAAAGTAAGAATGACGTTAACACACAAAAGGAATACAGACAAATGATCACTGCATTCTGATTTCAAAATAAGAAAGAACAAGAAAATGGTGAATGAGACCAAGAAATGGTCTATCTTGTTGGCTAGAAAGAAATCCCAGCATGCATTATGGTTTGTCTATAAATTTGAGGAGGGTAATGTTTTTGCAGTCATTCCTATCCTAGATTGGAAACAAAAATTGTTTATTTACAAAAGAAACAAAACAAAAGAAACAAATATTCATGTTTAAAAGTTTTCTTTTTAGTTCAATGTTATTTAAGATTTTGAAGATTGTTATCCAATAAACAGCATCCCATGAAAATACAGTCAGTGATCTTTAAAACCAAATAAATTGAAATATAATTCATTGATTGATTTTCTATGGCTTATCAACACTTTGCACGTTAATTAAAGCCAGAAAGTATTTTTAGATTGTAAGCTTTTTGGAGATAATAAAGATTTAATGATAGAAGCTTTACTAATTAACCCATAGCTGAAGGGAGAAGAGGGGGATTCATACTTTTGTGTATGAGTAAATATAACAAACCCAACCGAAATTGGATCTTGGCTCTCTGATTAATAATTCTGAGACATTATCCATTACACCACACACACATCCAAGCTTACAGCCCCTGCTATTCACAAGTAGTCACCCATTTAGGTACTGAACAGACTCGACATTGCTTAACTTCAGTGATTGTATAGGAACTGGGGTTTCAAAGCTATATAGCCATAAGCCATTGAACACTGAGATCTGATCATTGGTTGATAGACTATCCCTGGACATCTGGATAAATTTCTCTATTTCAGAAATACCTGTGAATTCTTTTTACAATGATGTTCACTCTGTACAAGGCCCAAGAGTAACTCAAGGTAGTAGATTACATAGTAAGAGACAGAGTGTATGATGATATTTGGGGAAGATAATGGTTGACCATAGACTTGAACAGGTTAAGCTTGTAGTGATTGGGAAAGCATCCTCTTGGGAGTTAGTTCCACAAAGCAGCAGTTCATAAGAAAAAGTGGAAGAGTGGAATATACATCTTACTAATGGAATATGAAGAGAATGAGAGTGGTTCACTACAATGTATGTATCATGGCAGATCTTAGACGTTAAGGTTAGAACTGGTAGAACTAAAGAATGTAATTTGTCTGAATACTTTCCATGGAAATAAATTAGCAGGAAGCTTGTGATGTTTTGTCTGTGAGAAAGGGGTTGTCGGGTGGAAAATAACCAGCCACAAGTCTGCAGAGACACTTTTGGATTCTGTTGAGACTAATAAGTGAAAACTGAGCATCTCCTGCTTGTTAATGGCAGCAGTACTCCATTTTCGGCCAGATTTGGCTTTTGTAAAGGTAGAGAATAGCAAGAGGAATCAGGTACTTATTGGAGAAATAAAGGGAACCGACCATTTTACCAGAATCTTTAGTGATGGATCCTATGTATGAGTTCCACTTGAGGTTTCAGTTAAGTTTAAGTCCCAATAGGTTCTCAGGACATGGAACCTCCCTGAGAAAACACATGTTCATCATGATAGGTGGAAATTTGGGCTCCACTCAGGGTAACAGAGGAAATCAGTGATGAAATTAGTAAATGGCTGTAAGAAACATAATACCTCAAACTTTAAGAAGAATCATTAGCATATCCAACAATGTTTATATTTTAAATTATTAATACTGTGTTTCAGCTGATCCACTCCTCAGTCTTCATCAGGAACAATCCTTAAAAACAAAAAAACTTTCTTCCTTCAAAAATAATCCTTTTTTCATGGAATAAATGTAATACAGACTGAAGAATACTTAGCTTTTTTCTGAGTTTCCGTGTTACTTTTTTGTGTTTTTGATGTCTTATTCATTCATTTATTTTTTTTTTTTTTAATGTGTTCTACATTTCATATTTGGAATAAAGTTTATTAGATTGAGGTGATAGGATTTTATTTATTCGTTTTCATCATGATGTTGTGGTAGGTAGCTTAGAAATTTGATTTCAAATCTCCACTTGGAAACAAGAGCTGATCTTTCATTAAGGAGTGTATCTAGTTCTGGAAATGTGATCATCACTGCTATTTTATCTTCTAAGCAAACTTACATTGTTTTGAGGTGTTGTTATAAGCTGGTGCTGCTTTCCTTATCGACTGAACATGAGCAACAATGAAGTTTTAGAGAAAATAGAAACAAAAAGGACACATTTACTTAATATCAGAAAGAGGTAGTTGAAATTTCTAGGGTACATAATAAGGAAATAAGACTTGGAAAATCTGATACACACAAGGACAGATTGAAGGCAAGAGGGACAGAGGAAAACAATGTACAGCCGACCTGGTGAGCTTGAATGAATGGATGGTGGAACAGGGTTTGGGAGAGGTGATCAAAAGACAAAATTTATTAAGAGCTACAAAAAAAGGATTCGACCATAATTGAGATCATCAAGTCAATGTGAGCAATCCTTTCCTTAGCTGCATAATATGTGCTTCACTGGGGCTAGGTACAGTTTTAAATTCAGAATTTTTCCTTCTCCTAGTCTAGTCTCCTATGTCCAAGGGCATAAACCCAAGTCTTTCCTACTATTTACCCATAGCTAGGGTGAGAAGAGTTGGATTCATACCTTTCCCAAGGGTAATAGCATGTAAGTGAATGTAATGAACAGAACTGGAATTCAAACTCAGCTCTCCAATTCCTCAATCCAAGCTGCAATCCATTACTCTACCTTGCATAAAAGCTACAAAAGACTAGAAATTGTGGATCATCATCATCAACGTCCTGAAGGGACACAACCAATAGAAAAATAATTTATATTTGGTTCTGTTTTGGTTTGTGTTTTTTTGTTGTCATATATGCTTCAACAGAAAAAATGACATTTTGTATGAGGAGTTTCTCAAGTAAGTTATTGGTTTTTGTTATTCCTATATTCTTATAGATTTCCTTTGTATATTATTTTATTGTACAAGCATGATATATGCAGCCATCCTATTAATAATACCTGAATTGAAGATAAATGTATCAAAAATTCAGATTTAATTAGAATTTATTCATTGCCATTATCAATCAGCTCCTTTCAACGATTCACAAACTTCAGAAGATTTTTGTAAAAGTCTTTTTGGTTTGGAGAATGTTGAAAAAGTCGTTTCCACTTCTTCATGTCTTTTAAAATGTCTGTCTAAACCCCAAAATAGGTGGCAATCAGATGGAAGATGATCTGGAGAATAAAGAATTGTGGAATTTTTTTCTGGACAAGGTTTTCAGTCTTTTCAAAATGAAGCCATGCATTATCATGATAGAACACCATACCTTTGCAGATGAAAGGAAAGAATCCTAGTTTAATCAAAGCTGTGTTTAAATGTTGTAACTATCTATTTTAAATACCTACTGTAATTATAACATTGTCATGTCATGACACAAGTCTCATAATCCATTAAGGCTCATAGTGGCACTACTTGTACTGTTGCCATGGTAGAAATGTTGTGTCTAGGGCAAGATAACCCATTCCTTTTAAGGCTGGTTTTGAATTCAGTTTTCTTCTCCTAGACTGTTAAGAGAATCCAGGTTTACTTACTATTTAACCCATAGATGGAGGGGTGAAGAAGAGATGGATTTATACTTTTCTCAAGACTATTTCTATGAAAGTGAATGTAAAAAAAACTCAACTGGAATTTGAACTCAGATCATTGATTTCTCTTTCCAAATTGCTAACCAATAAACTACTTGCAAATCCACTTTTAACATTGGCTGGTAGAGAATTAAAATAGATTGTAATGTAGTCCCACTAAACATTTACCAAAACTTTCCTAAGATGTAGATCCATTTTGAATTGTGCTTTTATTCCTAATAAAAATGCCGTATTTATTACAAATTGCCTTATAGCTAAGGTAGTTGTATATTTTCTCACTGATGTCAGCATTTTTTTTTTGGTAAAGGCCATTATTTGAGTGCTGATTTTCAAGTCATCCAAGTTCTCTTCATTTGCAGAATAAGTATTGGGTTGTCCAAAAAGTCCATGCTGATTTTTAAAGGAAATTAAAGCACAAAATAAAATTATGTAATTAAATATTTATTCAACTAAATATGAACTATTTTATTGCACAACCTTTCTATGTTTTTCATTCAACTTAAAGATTCCATCTTCCCAGAATTTTGGTGGTTTCTTGGCAAAGAACACATTAAGGTGTTTTTATGTTACCCAAAGAATTAAAATTTTTACCATTGTGATTATTTTGCCAGGGCCTGAATAAATGAAAATCCGAAGGAACAATGTCTGGTGAATATGGCACATGGGGTAACACATACCAGCCAAGCTGCAACAATTTTTGCCGGATTGCTAAAGAAAACTGAGCCTTTTAATTTTCCAGATGTGAGCAGTACTTTTCAGAATCAATTGACTGCTTACTTCGCAGGGGTTCATACTACAGGATTCCTTTCCAATCCCACCAGATGCACAGCATGACTTCCTTAAGATGAAGACCTACTTTTGAGGTGGCTAAAGTTGGCTCATGTCACTTAGTCCAGGATCTTTTTCACTGAACATTGTTGTAAATGATCCATTTCTCATCACCTGTCACAATTTGCTTTAAAAACAGTGCATTATACAGAAAATCACCAATGAAATGTGATCCAAAAGATTCTTTTCACTCAGATAATGTGGTACGCAAACATCATAGTGATGATTTCAGTACCCAAACTTCAATAAGTGTTCATGGATAGTGTATCTTGATAAGTTTAGTGTTTCTGCCAATACCTGTGTTGTGTAATGGAGGTTATTCTCAATGTCTTGATTTGGTCATCATCTTCAGTGGGGAGTGGGGGGAGGGTCTGCCTGAGCATTCTTCATTAATAAGGCTACAATCACCAACTTTAAACTTAGCAAACCACTTCTGTACAGTCCTGTTAGCTAAAGCATATCCAATGTACATAGCACATATCTTTTTGTTGCTTATGAGGCGTTTTTGCCTTTACGGCAAAAGAAAAAGCATCAAGTGTCTAAAATGCACCTTATAATCTTCCATTTTCATAAGGATGCAAAATTGACACAAATTAAGTAATTTTAAACTTTCTTAAGATATAGTTTAAAGTGTACTCTAATCGGAAATGTAAGCAGATTATATCTGTCAATAAATTTGACATGTTCTAACATGTTGGAACATAAACTAATAATAATTGGCATGAACTTTCTGGACAACTCAATAGAAGACAAAACAACTTTCCTATTTTGTGCTATCCTAAGTTAGATTTTTTTCTTAAAAATTCCTTAAGTCCTATGTGTTATTAGTCAAAAATAAAATACTGACACTTTACACTGCTTGTGAATACCAGCTGCTGTAAGCTTGTATGTGCAGGTGGTGTAATGGATGATGGCTTTTTAATAAAAAAATCAATCAGTTCACCCCAAGAAAGGCAATAATGCCACTAAGATTCAAGGGGCTACTGGGAGTGAAAGAGAAGTAAAAGACTTCAGAAGGAACCAGAAACCCAATGCTAAACAAGAAACAAGGGATAAAGTTCAAAAGACTGAGGAGGAGTGTGAACTGGACAATAGGTAAAAACATCTACTCCTATTGAAAAAAAAAATAATAAATAAAATTTCATTGTTTAGGGAGAGATTTTAGAAGCATAGAATTGAAATAGATTTTACAAGTAACTGCGTGGAATTGTTAATTGGATAGTTGAGTTCTAATTTGCATTGAGTTTGTTATATTCACTTACGTGTAAATAGACTTGTGAAAGATATGAATCCACC